TGATTTCAAAAATTAGTTATTTGTTTATCTCTCCCCAGTAGACTGAGAACATTCTGATCATTGGTTATTTATCTTTACATTTTCACAACCTATACAAGTCCAAGTTTGTAAAAGGTACTCAGTAAACATTTAATAAGTTAATGAGGTTTTTCCTCTATTAGAGATAAAGGAGTGTGAACATCAAACCATTGGAACCCTAAGTCCACATGCGACCTACTGTTTCCAGTATAGTGTTCTTACAGAGAGTTTCTTTATTAATCGATGGATGGAAGTGTAAGTTCCAGAGTTAGTTTCCTTGCCATTGATTAAGTAATTTATTTTTGAGTCTTAGTGTAATTCTTCTGATGGAAAACAAAACTAGAAATTCTAGAATTTTTGAAAGGATTTTTTGGTAAGTGATCATTATATTATTGGGCAGTGTTATCTATACAATAAGTCAGTACTGATGCCTTGTTTGTGTATTTAGGGGTTCCTGTTGTGGGACAGGGGATCAGATGTTGAGAGTTTGGACAAACTCATGAAAACCAAACATATACCTGAAGCTCACCAAGATGCATTTATTTTTTTTTAAATATTTTATTTATTTATTTGTCAGAGACAGAGGGAGAGAGAGTGAGCGAGCACAGGCAGACAGAGGCAGAGGGAGAAGCAGGCTCCCTGCCGAGCAAGGAGCCCGATGTGGGACTCGATCCCAGGACGCTGGGATCATGACCTGAGCCGAAGGCAGCCGCTTAACCAACTGAGCCACCCAGGCGTCCCACCAAGATGCATTTAAAACTGGTTTTGCAGAGGGTTTTCTGAAAGCTCAAACCCTAACACAAAAAACCAATGGTAAGTTGATTAGACAGCATCCATAATTGGGAAGAATATCTAAAAGGAAGTCATAGTCTTACCTTTAAGTGGTTACACATACTTTTTCTAACACATATGCACGTTTTCATTGGTTATATTCCATTATATTTATGAGTTAAGCTGTGTCAAAATGGAAATACCTGTTGACACTCCCTTTTCTCAAATGAGAACCAAAGTCAAGGACAGAAGCATGAGTGCCTTCATGAGGTTTTTGATAATAGGGTGCTGAAAGGAAATCATGGCAATTATACAAAAGAATGCCAGGTTCCAAAATTGTATTCGATGGAATATGATTACCATCAATAACCTAATTCTTGCTTTTCATCAAAATGTCATTTGTCATTGTCATTATTTGACTTAAGTTTTTTTTTCTTTTCCTCCTCCAGATTCTCTGAGACGAACTCATCTGATTCTCTTCATTCTGCTGCTGTTTGGCATTTATGGACTCTTAAAAAATCCATTTTTATCTGGTAAAGGCTCTTTTTATTTTTCTGACTTTTTAATCTTTTAAATACTTGACTTTTTTTCATAGTCTGCCTTAGACAGGAGAGAAGAAGCATTTCCTGTTTTGTTTTTGTTTTTGTTTTTTAAAGATTTTATTTATTTATTTGACAGAGAGATAGAGATCACAAGTAGGCAGAGAGGCTGGCACAGATAGAGGGGAAAGCAGGATCCCTGCTTAGCAGAGAGCCTGATGTGGGGCTCGATCCCAGGACCCTGAGACCATGACACCTCTTTTGGAATGAGCCCAATTCTGATTATGAAGCTAAAGAAGACATATTGATAATACTAGAAAGGGATCATCACAAAGTTTGTAGATTATCACAAAGTTTTCTGTGCTAATCTAAACAAATATTATAATTGCTATTACAATTTTATATTGCCATCATCGTTATAGAATCTAAATTTATATAGACCAATGTAATTTATAACATTTACCAAAATAGGTGGGTCAGTAGGTGGTACCTGTGATCAGTTTTACCAACTCTTAAAGAGCTAGTATAGGAATTTCATTTCCTTGCCTAGAATTTCTGGTTCTGTAGGAATAATTTTACATACAGTTGCCATAAAAATACTAATAAGGGCTTTTATAACTTCATTCATTGTCTTGATCCCTCAGCTCTATTCTATATAGATTTTATATACCTCAGTTGGGAATTTTTTTGACACAAAGTTTGGGTAGAGGAAATGTAGCTTTAGTAGTAGATGACATCCAATCTGTTTCCCTTTTTCCTACAATTTAAAGTTATTTATTACCTTGGCCAAATGTCTTTTGGCCTTTTTTTAGCATATGGGTATCTTTGAATATTTAAAAAATGTATTTTAATAGATAAAGGGCTAGATCTCTTTTTATATATTTTTTTTTATTTTGGGGGGGATGCTATTTTTTTTTAAGATTTTATTTATTTATTCAAGAGAAAGAGCATGTGAGAGAGCACAAGCAGAGGGAGTGGCAGAGGGAGAGGGAGGATCAGGCTTCCTGCTGAGCAGAGAGCCTGATGGGCTTGATCCCAGGATCCTGAGATCATGACCTGAGCTGAAGGTAGCTGCTTTACTGACTGACCCCCCAGATGCCCCCCAGATCTCTTAATAAACATAAATTTTGAAGTTTAGCATTCACACAAAACTGTACAAATCACAAATCTGTACCTTAGTAAGTTTTCACACAGTGAACTCAGTATATTATTGGCCCCCAGCTCAAGAAATGAAATATTACCAGAAACTTCCTAGTGCCCCTTTCTTCCCACCGCAAGCATATTGTTGTTCTGACTCATAACATACATTAATTGGCCTGAGTTTGAATTTTATATAAACATAGTACATGTAGTGTATATGGCTTCTTTCATTCAAGGTGATGTTTATGAGATCCATCCATGTTTTTACATGAAGCTCTACTTCATTCATCCCCATTGCATAGCATTCTGTGAATCACAATATTGTGTATTCTCCATTAGGTAGACATTGGGTTGTGTCTAGTGTTGGCCTAAAGAGTGCTATTGTGAATATCTCTTATGTTTCTTGGTGAACATATGTATGCATTTCTCCTTAGGGGTCGACAGAGCTTTACTTATAACTGTTAACTTTACAAACATTTTATTAAGTTTTAATAATTTAATCAGTAACTTTCAAAGACCATTCTAAGCCTAATCAAAAAAACTCATTTACTCTTTAATGATTATATACATCCTAGAGAAAATCTTAGAAAATGATTTAGGATTCTAAGAGAGTCATGAGTTTAATTCTAGATTTTCATAATGCCCTTCAGCCCAGAGATGTTTCATGTTTTAGTATACTTCTTGTCAGGTAGTTTCTTTTTAACCCTGACCAATGTACTTGAGTTATTTTTTTCCCCACTGAGAACTATTTAAAGTTGTCTAATACAGGGTTGCAAATTGGCTTCAAACGTATTATTAGACCAGTGTAATTTAAAATAAATACATAAAAGTACACACATAAATGCAATTTTAATTTAAATTGATAGCTAATATTTTTAATGATGTCTGTTGGATTCTTGACAAATCCACAAAAATTTACTGAGCTTGGAGGTAAACTTCCAAAAGGCAAGGTACCTTCCCTTTACCATGACTTGACATTAAAAACAAAATACAAGGGCGCCTGGGTGGCTCAGTGGGTTAAACCTCTGCCTTCGGCTCAGGTCATGATCTCAGGGACCTGGGATCAAGCCCTGCATCGGGCTCTCTGCTCAGCGGAGAGCCTGCTTCCTCCTCTCTCTCTCTGCCTGCCTCTCTGCCTACTCTGCGATCTCTGTCTGTCAAATAAATAAATAAAATCTTAAAAAAAAACAAAAAAACAAAATACAATAATCCATTGCTAATTTAATTTTTACCGATTTAAAAGCTTAAAGTTTGGTTATTAATGGCTATTTTACAAATAAGTCTTCATTCTGAACATACCATTGTATAACCTTTTTTTGAGAGGAAAGGGATTTTGAATTTTATTACAATTTCAGATTTTAAATTGTGAGAATAGTGCAGAGAACTCTCTGTACTCTTAACCAAACTCAGTAGTTTTTTAGCGCTTTGTCCCATTTGCTCACTTTCTTTACATAAATGTATTTTTAAACTGTTTAAGAGTAAATTGTAGATATCATGCTCCTTTAACCCCAAATACCTCGTCATGTATCTCTTAAAAAATAAGAATATTCTATTACATAACTCCAGTATAGTTATTAAAGTCAGGAAATTTCACACCATTCCAGAACTAATTATGAAATTTAGTTATATTCAAATTTCTACATTTTTCTTCTTAATACCTTTTGTAGTGAGGTCCTCCCATCCCCTACCCCAAATCCAGGTTTAGGACACAATCCAGGTTTACACATTTAGATTTTTCTTTAATCTTTTTTAAAAAATTATTTTAGAGAAAGAGAGAGAGAGAGGGAGAGCAGGCAGTGGGGAGGGGCAGAGGGAGAAAGAGAATGAAAATCTTCAAGCAGACGGATCATGACCTGAACCAGAATCAAGAGTTGCTGCCTAACTGACTGAGCCACCCAGGCACCCCTAGATTTTTCTTCAATCTGAAAAAGTTCTTTAGCTTATTTATTTATTTATTTATTTATTTGAGAGAGAGAGAGAGTGAGCACACATGCAAGTGCAAGAGCCGGTCGGGGGGGCGGGGCAGAGGGAGAGAATCTGAAGCAGACTCTGCACTGAGTGTGGAGTCCCATGCAGGGATCAATCTCACAACCCTATCATGAAGTAAGCCGAAGTCTAATGTTTAACTGACTGAGCCACTCAGGCTCCCCTCCTCACTCTGTTAATATGAGAGTGGGTGTGGATCTTTCATGACCTTAAAATTTGTGCAGTACACATACTAATTTGTGGAATAGTCCTGTTTGTCTTTGACGTTTTCTCTTTTAATGACTGTTGTGATTTATAATTAGAAATACATATTTAGGGGTGCCTGGGTGGCTCAGTGGGTTAAAGCCTCTGCCTTCGGCTCAGGCCATGATCCCAGAGTCCTGCGATGGAGCCCTGCATCGGGCTCTCTGCTCAGCGGGGAGCCTGCTTCCCTTCCTCTCTCTCTGCCTACTTGTGATCTCTGTCTGTCAAATAAATAAATAAAATCTTAAAAAAAAAAAGAAATACATATTTAGTCTTAGTCCCATTTCTTGTAGTTTTATAGTGATGACAGAAATAGATCTGTCTTCTGTTAATGAGTCAACTTTTAGGGCACACCTAAGGTTAGTAGCTGGTTGCCAGGAGAATCAACCATGTGATAAGAGGGCTGGAAATTTCCACAAATTAGTATGTATTCTGCAGTCTTTTGAGATGAAGTCCTTAACTTATGGTATTTGATGCTATCTCCAGGTGGGTAGCATCAGAATTGATTTGAATATTAGGGTGCCTGACTGGTGTTAGAGAATTGTTTGTTGGTGTGAGGGAGACCATATGCTAGAATTGGGTACAAGATTGTAATGACTTTGTGGTGTCCTTGGACTATATGATCATGCTATGCTGTAATCACTTACATTAAACTTTAATGGTTTCCAGTGTTTTGTGGTTAAAATTAGCAGTGTGAGGGCTGGGCAAAAATGTATGAAGAGGAAAGAGAGAAACATGCTTTCAGTTGTTGAATGAGTAAGTCAGAGGAGTAAAAGGCACAGGAAATATAGTCAGTGATACTGTAATAGTGTTGTATGGTGACAGAGGGTAGTACACTTGTGAGCACAGCATAATGTTTAAACTTGTCAAATCACTATGCTGTACACCTGAAACTAATGTAACTGTGTGTCAACTATACTCAGACATTTTTAATTAAAATAATAAAATCAGCACTGTGGTGATCATCTTATTATCTCAAGGCTTTGCCTACATCCTTAATTATCTCTTTAGAATAAATTCTAGATTTACTCATTTATTTATTCATTATTCTGGATTCTAATTCTAGAAATGGAATTGGTAAGTTAAAGGTGGCACTCATATTTAAGGTTTGTTTCTATACTGCCCACTATCTGTACTGACAATGCTCAGCAGTATATAAAACTGTTTGCATGAATCTCTGCTAATTTGGGATTCATTTATTAAAATCAGTACTATAACATCAGAAAGTTTAAAGTTTAAAGTCATAGAATAGTTAAACACTTTTCTTTCTAATCACAAGAGATATTTTGTAAAATTGTGGGAATATTCTCAGTTACAAAAATACATTCTACCATTTAAACCAGTTAAGAATTACAATAACATGGCAATACAAGGGGTAGTCTTAAGGTTATTTTTCAAGAACTTTCCTTTAAAAATAGTTTTTTATGTTAAAATATAGCATTAATACAGGGTTTTTTGCTTTTTTAAATGAAAAATGAAAAGTTTTGAAAACCAGAGAAATTTGTTATTCCAACTTATAAAAAATGCACTGCTGTTATGAAAATTTTCTAACATAGGAAAAGTTACAAAGCTTAGACATGAACTACTTTACCTCTACATACTTTGTTATGTGTCACCTAAGACTAAGGACATTATCCTAAAGAGAATAATTTATCCTACCAAATAAAATTAAATACTGTTTCCTTAATATCTTGTACTCCGGAATTTTTTCAAATTTCATCAGATGTCCAAATCAAATTTTCATTGGAGTTTCTGAAATATGTTTTTTATGGGTCACATTTCATTGCTTAATCTTTTAATCTGTGTTTATGTGAATTTTATCTTACTTGTTTCATGACAGATAAATTTATTATGTTCCATTCTCTCAAGATATAAATGGTAGAGGGAAATTAGTTTTAAAGAAGTTCCTGAAGTGAATCATTACTAGAGACATGTGTTTTGCTTTGTTTCAAGATAATAGTCATGTGCTTTCAACCAGAAAACTATGTATATATTAATTAATAACTACTTGTTTCATAGGTTCACATCAGGTTTTATTTTTATTTTTTAAGTTGAATCAGTGTATTTGTTTTCTCTTTTAGGAATACTTTTAGTTGGACCACGAGGGACAGGAAAGACGCTTCTTGCTTGAGCTGTGGCTGGAGAAGCTGATGTTCCTTTTTATTATGCTTCTGGATCAGAATTTGATGAAATGTTTGTGAGTGTGGGAGCCAGCTGAATCAGAAATCTATTTAGTACGTTTTAATGTATCTTTCACACAATACGAAATTTTGTTAATTTTAAGGGAAGAGGGATTCTTACCCTTGATTTATTATTTGATTATGATTGATAGCTGACCTCACCATTGTGGGGTTTTGGTTTTAGGTAACTTAATGTCTAACCTAAAACAGAACTGTACTTTCCCAAACAGAGGAGCTAGAAGTGTTAGGTGAGGTTGGGGTCTGTTGAAAAGCTGGGTTTTCTGTTGTTGTTGTTGTCCTTTTTATCTTATTCATTAATTCAGTAGTATATAATTAAGGAATAGTTAGCCTCAAATCTGACTGTGCCTTGTACAGTCAGAAGAATGAATACTTGGTTATTTTTATTATATATCATTTTGTATGGTACAGTTTTTTTCCTGAGGCTACTGTTCTTAAATCAGTTTTAAAAGAAAGAAAGAGATCTCATTTTATGTACTTTCTCCTTAATGAATGTCTTTTGTTGCCTTTGACAGTCTTACAGGTTTTTAATACTTACATGATTTTGTTAGAAAAAAAAACATTGATTTCATTAAACTTATTTGTATCTCTTCTCTCTTCCTAGGGGAAGCAAAAACAAATGCTCCCTGTATTATATTTATTGATGAATTAGATTCTGTTGGTGGGAAGCGAATTGAGTCTCCAATGCATCCATATTCAAGGCAGACTATAAATCAGCTTCTTGCTGAAACGGATGGGTAATTGAATCTTCGTCTGTCTTTGGGATATGGTAATATATTTGGGAACATTCAAGAAATAGCGGGGCATCTGGCTAAGTCAGTGGAGCAAGCAGCTCTTCCTCTCTGAGTTGTGCATTTGAGCCCCATGTGGAGTATAGAGATTACTTAAAAATAAAATCTTAAAAAAAAAAAAAAGAAAGAACGAGGAAAAATTTTAGGCAACTGAGTAGTCCCTGTGCATGAAGTCAAGACAAGCTGCATTCTCTGTATTGTGTTCTTTCCATTAGTAATGGGGTGACTGAGGTATCAATTCTTCTTAATTGGTGATCTCTATACCTTTTTTCATTGATTGTATCATGACAGGAAAGTGATGATTCCCACTGAGAATACTGGTCTGTTTGCAGACGTAAAGAGTGTTTGCTGGTTCCTACACAATTTGTGACTCGCTTTTAGTGTTGTGGTAGATTAAAAGTTTGCATCAGTTTTTATAATATAAAGAGCAAGAAGTGGGGTTGTTTTGGAAGAAGGAAAGACTTCTTAAAACCAAACAGGAAGTCTAGGAGCAAATAATTTGAATTGGTAAGCTTGAGAATATTTTTTCACAAATTAGGTTCCCTAGCGTTTTCCATCAGGTCATGTCTTCCTAAGTAGAAAATACTGTGAAGGCATGTAATCATAGATGACTTTGTGATTTATTGTTAGCAGTTTTATTGAAGTGTACTGGCCTAGTAACATTTGTTCTTTTTAAAAAATAATAGAGATGTTTTATCACTTTGGGTATAAAAAGGATCAGTCCCTTTTCTTTACTGTTATGAAATTTAATGATAGTTTTGTGTAGAGCATTTCTATATGTGTATTGTTTTAATTTTCAGTGAAATGTTACTTTCCTTCTTTTTTTTACTAGCTTTAAACCCAATGAAGGAGTTATAATAGGAGCCACAAACTTCCCAGAGGCATTAGATAAGTACATATTAAAAGACTGTTTTTACAAGTACTGGTACATACTGAAACGTGGATGAACTTTAAAAGAGAAGGAAGCCCATCACCAAATATTACATATGATTCTGTTTATGTGAAATGTCCAGAATAAGCAAATTGGTGGCAACAGAAAGTAGATAAGTGGCTGCCAGAAGGAGGGAAGAATGGAGAGTGACTGTTGGTGGCTATGGGGTTTCTTTTGGAGCGGGGGAATAAGAATATTCTTAAGTTAAATTGTTGGTAATTGCACAACTCTGACTATATTAAAAACTACTGGATTATCTACTTTAAATTCTGTGATGTATTAATTAAATTTCAGGAAAGTTGTTAAAAGAATCTTCTGACAACTTTATATCACAAAAGTTTGGGGGTGGTGGAGAGCATTTTTAAAATAAAATTTATTACAGTTTTAAATTTTTTATTTTATCATAGAAGTTATTCATATTTTAATTTGATCTAATAGTTTTTTTAATCTTGTCTAAGTCTGTGGTTTAACATTTTATACTTATAGCAGTTGTGATAGGAAGCTAACACAGTGTAGCTCTCATAATAGACTGCTTCAGAATTATTGTTCCTTGAGTGACTAGCTTGCATGTTTTTGTTTATGAGGGTTGCATACTATCTATCTCTATCAACCTTTGTTCTGCCTTCTGGTTATTGAAACTGTTACTTGAGCCATGTTTTACAAGGAGTTATCTGAATATTTATATGCAGAATTCCAGTCTAGGGTGGAATAGGTGATGGGGATTAAGGAGCACACTTGTGATGAGCAGTGGGTGACATGTGGAATTGTTGAATCACTGTGTTGTACACCTGAAAGTAACATAGCACTGTATGTTAGCTGTCCTGGAATTAAAATAAGAAATAAAACTCCATCCAAGATAATAATCCTTCACAAATATTTAATGTTAATGGATATGAGAGGCATTAACTTGCAACATTTAGTCATATTTACTCTTCCAAACATGAAAATGTCTATCAAATAATACTAGAATTTTTATTTTTTACTTTTTAAATTTTTTTATTTTTTAAATTACTTTTCAGTGTACTAGAGTTCATTGTTTTTGCACCACACCCAGTGCTCCATGCAATATGTGCCCTCCACAATACCCATCACTAGGCTGGCCCAACTTCCCACCTCCCACCCCTTCAAAACCCTCAGGTTGTTTTTCAGAGTCCATAGTCTCTCGTGGTTCATCTCCCCTTCCAATTTCCCTCAACTCCCTTCTCCTCTCCATCTCCCCATGTCCTCCGTGTTATTCCTTATGCTCCACAAATAAGTGAAACCATATGATAATTGACTCTCTCTGCTTGACTTATTTCACTCAGCATAATCTCTTCCAGTCCCATCCATATTGCTAAAAAGTTGGGTATTCATCCTTTCTGATGGAGGCATAATACTCCATAGTGTATATGGACATCTTCCTTATCCATTCCTCTGCTGAAGGGCATCTTGGTTCTTTCCACAGTTTGGCGACCGTGGCCATTGCTGCTATGAACATTGGGATACAGATGGCCCTTCTTTTCACTACATCTGTATCTTTGGGGTAAATACCCAGTAGTGCAATTGCAGGGTCCTAGGGAAGCTCTATTTTTAATTTCTTGAGGAATCTCCACACTGTTCTCCAAAGTGGCTGCACCAACTTGCATTCCCACCAACAGTGTAAGAGGGTTCCCCCTTTCTCCAAACCCTGTCCAACACACATTGTTTCCTGTCTTGTTAATTTTGGCCATTCTAACTGGTGTAAGGTGGTATCTCAATGTGGTTTTAATTTGAATCTCCCTGATGGCTAGTGATGATGAACATTTTTTCATGTGTCTTAAAGCAAAAGTATTTTTATTCTAACAAACACATTTTTCAGCATTAGGCACTTACGATTTCATAGTGTCAGTAGATAAAATAATACTAATTTAAAAACCATGAGGGACTTAACTATAGGAAACAAACTGAGGGTTTCTGGAAGGGAGGTGGTTGGGGGATGGGGATTAAGGCAGGCACTTGATGTGATGAGCACTGGGTGTTATACACAGCTGATGAATTATTGAATTCTACATCTGAAGCTAATGATATATTGGTATGTTGGCTAATTGAATTTAAATTAAAAAAACAAAATAGGTAGAAGTATTAAATACATGTATATACTGAACTAAAGGATGATCTATAATCTTAGTAAAAATTTAAAAGCAAAGTTCAAATTAATGGATATAGTATGAGCCAATTCTTACAAAAGTAACATAATCCATGTATATATTACATATCCTACTTTATGTATTATCTACAAATCCGTATAGCTATAGATGATATATGTTTGTACATATAGGAATCAAAGTCGTGGCTATCCAGGTGTGTGTTCGGAATCTTAACATTTTTTATATGCCCCCCTATGGTTATACTTGTCACTGAAAACATGTAATACCTTTGTAACTTAAAAAAGTAATAAAGAAAATATAATCAATTATAAAACAGAGAACAAGTGAAAAAAAAAAACTCCATCCAACTTTTGGTTGTCATTATCTTTCCATCTTGTCTTCACAGTGTCAGTCCTATTTAATTTGACCTTCAGTACTCAGATTATTAATTTATATTTTCTTCTCATATTCTCCCTTTAGTGCCTTAATACGTCCTGGTCATTTTGACATGCAAGTTACAGTTCCAAGACCAGATGTAAAAGGTCGAACAGAAATTTTGAAATGGTATCTCAATAAAATAAAGTTTGATCAGTGTAAGTCCAATTCTAGTAACAAACTTTATTATTATCTCTATGTAATGGTAATATTTCATTCCACCCTATTTGTGGTCCTTACTTGATAAATGTCTCAGAAGACCAGTTTTTTCTATGTCCTTTTTTCTCTCCATTTGTATTTCCTTTTTTATTTATTTATTTATTTATTTTTAAGATTTTATTTATTTATTTGACAGACAGAGAGCACAAGTAAGCAGAAAGGCAGGCAGAGAGAAAGCGGAGGAAGCAGGCTCCCCGCGGAGCAGACAGCCCAATGCAGGGCTCGATCCCAGCATCCTGGGATCACGACCTGAGCCGAAGGCAGAGGCTTTAACCCACTGAGCCACCCAGGCGCCCCTGTATTTCCTTTTTTTAAAAGTTTATTTCTTGATAATTACATATGTAGGACATTTGTCATTTGAATCCTCATTCTAAAGGATGTTTTCTTGGGGGTCCTGGGTGGCCTAGTTGGTTGGTTGCCTTTGGCTTAGGTTGTGAGGGTCCTGGGATCAAGCCCCGCCATCAGGCTTCCTGCTCAGCAAGAGAGTCTGTTTCTCTTTCTCCCTCTCCTCCTGCTCATGTGCTCTTTCTCGCTCACTCTCTCAAAAATTTTAAAAATTTAAAAATAAATTTAATTAATAGATTAATAAGTTTAAAATGATTAAATATAAATAAATTATTTTAAATATAATTATTATAAATATAAATGAATTAAATAAATTAATATAAAATAAATTAATTAAACATAATTAAAAATAATAAATTTAGTAAATTTAATTAATAAATTCAAATTTAAAATTTAAAATTTTTTTAAAAATTCCTTTTTTAAAAAGGAATGTTTTCTTAAGAGTATTCAAATAATACTTGAAGATAAATATAAGTGGTTTTAGATGAATGTAAAATATGAGATAGTAGAAAAAGCACATAAAATATCATCACTTTGGACCCAAAAGAAGCAAACTGTAAAACAAAACATATGAAAATATTATGGACCCACTTGAGTAATAAATGCAGCTATTAAATTAAGCTGTAGTATTTTCAAGGATAGGTGAATCAATTTACAAAACCTGATATGTTGGGGCGCCTGGGTGGCTCAGTTGGTTAAGCAACTGCCTTCAGCTCAGGTCACGATCCTGGAGTCCCAGGATCGGGTCCCATATTGGGCTCCCATCTCCATGAGGAGTCTGCTTCTTCCCTCTGACCTTCTCCCCTCTCATGCTCTCTCTCTCTCTCTCTCTCAAATAAAAATAAGTAAAATCTTAAAAAAAAAAGCCTGATATGTTTACTCTAATAAGAGGAGCTTTTATAAATATATATATAATATAAATACTTAATATAAAGTATCTCAAGATGAAATTCAGAAAACAAAATATCTATGAGTATACATTCTCAGTTGTGCTTAGGCTAGTAACATTTTAGGTCATAATTTGAAGGTTTATAAATCATGTCTGGCAACTCTGCATTTCTTTATTTTCCACAAAGTTAATTAAATTTAAGAACTTTTGGGATGTGTTCCAATGAGATTTTAATGATCTATTTAATGGCAATTTTGGTTTTCCTTTAGAAAAAGTAAGTTTATTTTGTAGTTACAGTGATATAAATATTTTAAGTTCTAGTTCAGGTTAGCTGTTTTCTTTTTTCTTTTGGAATATGAGTCATTTGTGAAGAGTTATTTTGGAATTTTAATATTGTGTTTATCTACATAGCTGTGGGTCCAGAAATTATAGCTCGAGGTACTGTTGGCTTTTCTGGAGCAGAGTTGGAGAATCTTGTGAACCAGGCTGCATTAAAGGCAGCTCTTGATGGAGAAGAAATGGTTACCATGAAGGAACTAGAGTTTTCCAAAGATAAAATTCTAATGGGTAGGTTTTCTCTCTTTTTTATTTTCCCTGTCTTACACTGTTGATTATGTTAGAGAATAAATTCTTTTTTGAGAAAAATGTTATAAGAAAGAAAGGTATAGGAGCAAGAAAATATTTGCTCAAAGTAGCCACACAACTGGGCCTCTTACAGAACAAATATAGTTTATATGATTATATAGTTTGGGGGCAGGGGGTGCCCATGTGTTTACTCTTGTCTGGTATTGCTGATAAAAAGAATAATTGTACCGATAAAAGAAAAATTTTGCTAATTTTCAGTATTTGATTTTAAATCTTGAATTGGCTTCAGAACAATTTCGTTGTGACATTTCTTGTTTAAATTTATTTTCTGGAAATAGAACTAAACTTTCCTGGTTGATAGTAAGGAGTAAGAGGACAGCTCTTACAATTTTGGTTGTCAGTTGGCAACTTATTTTGGCTCAAAATAACTTATTAACGATATTAAGTCATGTCACTCTAAGAATTACTTAAAGGCAAGTGGGTTTCATTCATCTAAATATACCTTCTTAACAGAATAATTTTATGCAATTAAATTTTTATCCTTAGGGCCTGAACGTAGAAGCATGGAAATTGACAATAAAAACAAAACCATCACAGTATATCACGAATCCGGTCATGCTATTATTGCATATTACACTAAGGACGCAATGCCTATCAACAAAGCTACAATCATGCCAAGAGGGCCAACACCTGGACATGTAAGTATCTTGTTTTTTTCTTTTCCTTCAAATAACACTCTCCAAAAGCTTTTGTAGGAAACTGTTGAGGAAAATAATTAAAAAGAAAATTCAATTAAGTTCTAAGTTTGCCGATAAGTTTCTTCTTTAACCTTCTGAACCATTGTGAGATCAGAGATACTCGTGAAACTTATCTGCTAATAAAGAATACTAATAGTTCAAATATTATATATTTACATAATGAAATTTAAGTCTGGAATGACAACAAAGTATCATTCTTAAATATGTCATTGCTTTTTTCCCTCCGCAAAGAAACTAGGTTAGTGTTTCCATAGTCTTTCTAAGATTTTTCTCACTGAGTACAAGTTTCATTTTCTTATCTTTCTAATGATAGACATTTTAAGCCTTTTTTGGCACCTGGGTACAAGTCCATCCTGTTGCAGCATGATCCTATAGCAGGATTATATAGCTATGACATGTAAAATATTAGAACTTTTGCTTTATAAAGAATTTTTCTTCCTTTGTATAATGCCACTTTTGTCATTAGTTGCCTGCAACCATCTCTACTAAATGTCTCTGAGCTGTCAGCATCATGATATTAAGTACTATAGCAAGAGCCAGATGATAATTCTGATCATTAATGTAAATATTTCCAACTGTGTCTGGAGTTTTTGTTTTCAATTGTCTAGGTGTCCCTCTTGCCTGAAAATGACAGATGGAATGAAACTAGAGTTCAGCTGCTTGCACAGATGGATGTTAGTATGGGAGGAAGAGTGGCTTGAGGAGATTTATTTGGAACTGATCACATCACAACAGGTTGGCTGTAAAGAATGGCTTTAGTTCAGATTGTGCTTGCTGATTTAAAAATATTTTTAAATATTGAGTCTATATATATTTTTAAATTTTAGATGCTTCCAGTGATTTTGATAATGCAACTAAAATTGTAAAGTGGATGGTTACCAAATTTGGAATGAGTGAAAAGGTAATAGTTAATTTTACCCTTCCCTCATGTATCAAATGATGACTGCCAAGTGTCTCCTTATGAGACAGGGTTCTTTTTTTTAAGACTTTATTTTTTTATTTGAGAGAGCGAGCATGAGAGGGGGGATGGTCAGAGGGAGAAGCAGACTCCCAGATGAGCAGGGAGCCCAATGCAGAACTAGATCCTAGGACTCTGGGACCGTGACCGGAGCTGAAGTCAGTCTCTTAACCCACTGAGCTACCCCAGGCACCGTATGAGAGAGGGTTCTCGTTATAAATTGGTAACATTTACTTTTCCCCTGTCTCATTCTGAGTAGATTTGTCACAGCTCATTCTAAACTAAACTTTTTTTTTTTTTGAGTACTAAAATATAGTATTCACTTTCCATTCTGGCTTCTTGGACAATAATAGTGTCTCATGAGTTAAGCAAATGATAAGATATTCTGTTTCTGTTCATATCACCTAAAACTTCTGTTTGCGGAGCTTGCTTATTTTATCCTTCCCACGTATTTCACTCTCCTACGTTATCACTGTGACTTCACACAGCACTTCTAATACACTACATTGTGGATTTCTGGATTTGGAATAGTGGCAAAGGTTTTCTAAGAAGGTACTCAGAACCATACTTAGGATTTTAAAGTTTCTCTCTTGTTCATACTTTTTAGTCTTACACTTTCAGAAGAATGATGAAATTTCTATACTGAATTTCTTCCTTGCCCTTGATGAGGTTTCCTTAAGTATAGGATAGTACTTCCTCTGTTAACATTTATTAGTGGTTTGGGGTGTTTCTGTTCAATTTCTTTCTTTTCGTTTGTTTTAGCTTGGAGTTATGACCTACAGTGATACTGGGAAACTGAGTCCAGTAACTCAATCTGCTATTGAACAAGAAATTAGAATCCTTCTAAGGGTAATAATTCTGTTTTTTTGTGCTTTTTCACCTGTCTTGTCATTAATGTGCCTAAATAGTTAGGTGCTACCAGAAGATAATAGTTGTCCCCTGTTTAGAACTGTCACTATATATAATCAAGAGAATGAGTGCCCCATTGAAGCCATGATTTCAGTATGTAGTTGGGAGCCTCTGGTCATAGACTGAATCTTTTATTCTGGCGATAGACTAGGAACAGTTAATATCAGTAATTATAAATATTCTACTTCAGCTGTAAAACCATAGTGTTGTTAAAATAGGGGCGATATTTGATTGTTTGAGTCTTTTTTAGTTTTTCACTCTGACATATATTTTATTCAACAAATATTAGTTGCTTTGTGCCTCGCTGTGTACATATGCTGAGAATGAAGCATAAAGGGCTTTGAAAACAAAAGTCTTTTGGATTGCAGGGTCCAGTAAAGAATATGTGAGTGTCGATTCAGTGAGATGAGTTAGTAGGTACTGTGGAATCTCCTTAAGGTACAGCAGATGCTTGGATTAGGGCAGTGAGAGGGGAAATTGAGAAAAAGGAATGCATTCAAGAGATACTGATCTAGTGGAATCAAATTCCTTTCTGATGTTTGGGTGAGAGAGTAGCTAAATTAAGTAACAAAGCTGTGTTCTCGATTTCTGCCTGGTGCAGCCATCTAGTTGTGTGTGCCATTGACTGAGAAAACACTGATGATGGCCTAAGGTGGGGAAGTGTGTAGCTTATGAGCTGAGTTTTATACATATTGAATTTGAAGTGTTTTCTTTTTTTTAGGTTTTATTTGTTTACTTGAGAGAGAGCGAGAGAGCGTGAGAGAGCATGAGCATAAAGTGGGGTGAGTGAGGGGCAGAGGGAGATGCAGACTCCCGGTTGAGCAGGGAGCCTGATGTGGGGCTCGGGGCTCGATCCCTGGACTCTGGAATCATGACCTGAGCTGAAGGCAGACACTTAACCAACTGAGCCACCCAGGCGCCCCTGAATTTAAGGTGTCTTAGTGAAGATTTCAAGTGGGGAGGGATACGTGGGTCTGGTGCTTAGTGCAGAGGTTGGATATGTGCATTCCAATTGGACGTACATGAAGGCAGGTCTTGGAATGGAAAAGACTGAGCTAAATGGCAGAAGGTCTAGTGAACGAGAACTGGAATTAGGGTTGTAGACGGCAGAATGAAGGATGTTGAAGTCAGATGGTGTAAACTTCAAAGGAATCATGCTTTATAAGAGAGGGTGGTAAAGTAATAGTCTGTCAGCAGTGAGGGGAACAAAGAGCTCGCCTCTTTACCCTGAAATATCTGGGATAGGAGTGAATCACCTGAGGGATTCAGAGTCTCCCCAGGAGGGCCAGGTTTGATTAACTCAAGGAGGTAAAATGACTTTTAAAATGACTTTAAAGTCATTAAGTTTATGAAAAGTTTATATGATGGAAAGGTTTAGAAGGTGTTTCAAAAGAGGAATTCTCTCTCCCTTGCCTGAATCATTTTTTTTTTACTATTTATGTTATTTCGAGTAAATTATCTCTTCTAGTATTAGAGCATTGGAAATACTCTTTCTTTGCTCTTAATACTTTTCTGAAATGTTAAGCTTGCAAGAGCGGCAGGTACTCTTTCCACTAGATGGCACACTTACATTGTTATTAAGGAAAATGATGATTAGTGTACATTTTAAGTTCAAATGCATATGAAACTTAAAGATATAAAAACCTTATCATAGTCTTACATGTTACAGTGTAAGGGTTTCATTCCAATGGAGTTTTTAAAGTCAATACTAATTCATCCTAGGTTATTAGTTTTAATATTCCATGACATATTTATAATACTTTATAAATATTATAAGTATAAATACTTATAAATATAAGTATTATATTTATAAAAATATAAATTTATAAAATTATAAATATTTTATAATTTTATAAATTTATAAAAATATGAATATATTACTTTATATGTTATCTTTAATTTTATATTTCACTTGTCCATAACAGTTTTGTTCAGAATGTCTAATGATGTTTATTTTTAATAATTGTGTTATTTTTATATGATGTATGCTTCTTGGTGTTGGTAAACTCATTTTACAGTGGTATAGTGACTGACTGACAGGTAAGTTGTTACCAAATAAGAATAGAAAAGTAGATCTTTTCTCACCCTTTAAAGTGAATAAATTGGTGAAATCTCACAAGGCAAAAGGAGCAAACCTGCCTTTACTTTTTAATATGTATATTGAATAGAGAAATAGATTTCTTTGTTTGCAGACCTTATTTAAAAAGCAGACAAGTATATCTTACACACTTATACAGTATATACTTATATATCTTTAAGTAGCTGCCTAAGTAGTCCTCACTTATCCATGTGATACATTATGAGGTTAAATATAGAACGTTTGCAAGTATGAAACTAATCTTTGAGAACCAAGCTTGCCTTATCTATCAGTCAATCAATCAAGTAGGCTCCATGCTGGGTGTTTAAAAGCTCCATGTCTTAAGACACTCTTAACCTCAAAAAACAAACTGAGGGTTGCAGGGGATGGGGTGGGGGTGGGGGGGTGGGTGTCTGGGGGTGGGGAGGTCTCGGGAGAGGGTGGCTGGGTTATGGACATTGGGGAGGGTATGTGCTATGGTGAGTGCTGTGAAGTGTGTAAAGCTGACGATTCACAGACCTGTACCCCTGGGGAAAAAAATATATTATATGTTTATAAAAAATAAAATTTAAAAAAAGAGCTTCATGCTTTTATCTTTTATAAATAGAAAAGAATATAGTTCACATTTTTTAAGGCATACACATTTTTTTTCTTATTGATGATTTTTGCTTCTACTAAGTTTTCTGCCTCTTTGATACTTCCTTTTTTTCATTTCAGGACTCATATGAACGAGCGAAACGTATCTTGAAGACTCATGCAAAAGAGCGTAAGAATCTATCAGAAGCTTTACTAACCTATGAGACTTCGGATGCCAAAGAAATTCAAATTGTTCTTGAGGGAAAAAAATTGGAAGTGAGATAATAACTCTTAAAATGGATGAATTGCTGGTTTTGCTGAAGCAATATATAAGTAGCATTTCGGTAGTTTCCTTTTGCAATGCTTTTCTCCCATTCTTGCCTTGATATCACTCAAGAGTGTGAAACACTTTGTCTCTCTTTTGTCACATTTAATCTAATTCTGGCTATTCTCATGATGACACCTATGGAAAATTATCAGCCCATAGCAAATATGTTAAAGAAAATAAAGAACTATTAGGATTGGAAACGGCGTATTTGAGAAATGTTAATCAGTTATTCAGTTGAAAATAAGTAATGATTTTATGGTTGGTTCCACTACTAGGTGTGAATAAAAATTGTGCCTTTAGCTCTCGGGATGTACTTTTACTTGGCAACGTAAAATTATCAAAGGATTATCTTTGTTTTTAGATAGTACCATTTATCTTTGATGAAGAAATGCTGCCATTTGGCTCAAGTGAAGCATATTTCTCTATAGGTCAGTGGAAACTTCATTAAGATGCATTTAATTATTATGCTTCAGATTGTCCATATATAAAATAGTTCTGTTTTTGTCTATCTACGAGAGAATTGTAAACATACAGATTTAATCAGAATTTAAATGATTACAACCTTTTAGAAATGCAACTTGCATTTTCATGGTCTTTTTTTTTTTAAATCATCATTCTTACTAATGAAATTTATTTCAGAGCCACAAATATTTTGTTAAATAAAAAGTGAGTCACTTCAAAATCTGAATAACTATATAATTATGCTTGGTATTAAAAGAAAGACTAACCCCAAATCTCAGTCCTTTCAAAGTGAACTTTGAATTACTCTCCTGGTTATGGAAAGTCATGTTTGTTTTTCATTCAGATTTTGGGAATATGAACATGTTGTTACAGGATTTACAGATGACTTCATTTAACTGAATAGAGAATTATTTTAGAGCTCATTGTATTGGCTCTACAACCAAATATTCTTGAAGTGATTTTATTAAAATTACCTACAGTTTTCTAAAACTGTAGATGGTCTTCATTGAAGAAGTTAATAGGGGGAGTTTGCTATACAGTTTCTTGCCTCTTTTTTGTTTTGTAGCTTTAAATTTTTATCTAATTTCAAACTTACAGAAATGTTACTTGAATAATACAAGGAACTCCCATATACCCTTGGTCCAGATTCATTGTCCCATTTTTTAATTGCCCACTTCCCTTTCCCCTTTCTCTCCTCTTTCATCCTTCCCTGTCCCTCTCTCCTTCCTTCCTTCTCCCTGTGTGTATACATGTCTTTGTGTGGATGCATGTTTTTATTTTTCCTAGATAGACTTCTGGGATTGAAATTGCTGGGTCATGTAGTAAGTTTCTGTTTATCTTTTTTGGGCCTGATGAAATGCATCATTCTCTGTATCTTCTACAGTATATTCTTAGAGTCTTTTTGATAAAGTCATTCTGGTGTGAATGAAATAATATCTCATGGATTAACATACATTTATCTACACTAGCGATATCCTCTCCCATTTTATTGGCCATGTGTATATTTTCCTTGGAGAAATGTTCATTCAGAGCACCCTCACCATCACTTTTAGGTTGTCTTATTATGTGGTGTAAGAGATCATATATTCTGAACACAAGTTCTTTATCAATCTTGCTTTTTAAAATCCAATCAACAATCTCTGTTGAGTGGAGTGTTTAGTTAATTCAGATTTAGTTTTGTTATACTTGTTTCTACACTTCCCATTTTGCTTTTTCTTTCCTGTTTTTCTCATATCTCAAGAGATCCTTCTGTTCCTCCTTTTTTGAGTTACATCTTAGTGATTGATCTAGGTATGACTGTGTGCATCTTATCAGTCTACTCTAATTCTGGTCAAATGTGGGAACTTTGTTTCAGTATAACTCATTTTCTTCTCTGTGCTCCTAGTGTCATATGTTATATCTGTGCATATTACAGCAACTCAACAATATAGTGACATAACTCGTGCTTTATATAATCCTATTTCCACAGTCTTTCTCTGGGAATGCCATTTATTTTTGCCTTTTTTTTTTAAGAATCATTTTGCTGGATATAGAATACATGGTTGCCTTTTTTTTTATCTTTAATCATTTAGATTATGTTATCCCATAGAATCCTAGCTCCCATTATTTTTTTCTAAGAAGTCAGCTGTTAATCATAATTTTCGTCTCCTTTTGTGATAGGTTGCTTTTTTTCTTTTACAGATTTCAAGGTTTTCTTTGCTTGCTTATCCTTGTCTTTTAGCAGTTTGACCCCATAATGACGTGTTTAGGTGTGGGTGTCCTTGTCTATTTCCTAGTTAGGATTTACTGGGCTTCTTGGATCTGCAGATTAGGTTTTCATCAAATTTAGGCAATTTTTGGCAATTACTTCTTCAAATATATTTATTAATCCTTTTCTGTCTTCCTTCTGGGGGGTCTCCTTATATATGTGTTGGTACACTTATCGTTGATCTGATCTCAGGCTTTGTTCATTTTCTTCATTGTTTTTTTTTTTCTCCCTCTCTGCTTGAGATTGAATAATTTCTGTTGATTCTTCAAGTTCACTGATTCTTCTGTCATCTCAAATCAGTTGAATTTTCCATTTCAGGTACTGTATTTTTCAGCTGTAAGTTTCCATTCAATTCTTTAATTTACTTTGTGTCTTTTTATTGAGACTCTTCATGTGTTGTGTCATTTTCATCATGGTTTTCAACACTATTTCTATTAGTCTTTGACCATGTCCGTATAGCTGCTTTTAAATCTTTGCTCAATCTACCATCTGGAAATACTCCGATGGTTTCTCCTTAATGCTTTTTGTAGTAAGGGTCACCTTTCTGGTCTCTTTGTTTTATTAATCTTGATAAATTTCAGGTAATTAGCGATTAGGGGTTCTGATTTCCTCCCCAGGAGGTTGTCTTGTTTTGTTCAGTAACTTGCCTCCTGTAAATTTATGAAGTCTGTCTCTACTGCAGTGTGCAGCCATTGATGTCTCTGTTCATTTCTTAAATTTTTAAATCTTGCTTCCTACATGTTGCCGCTGCGCCTGCATCCTTTAACATTTAGCCAAAGATTGGGCATGTATTGTGTGCAGACCCCATTATTCATGCTTTCTCTTCTGCTGATGGATCTGTGTGGGCTTATAAGTCCATTCAACCTTTGGGTCATTTTCAAGGCTGCCTGGTTTTTGCTTTCTAACAAGCTTTTTGCTTCTTTGTGTGTATGCGTATGCCTTGGCAACCATGGGTATGTGGGTGGCTTGAACCAGCTTCAGTTTCTACTCTGCATGCCTCTGGTAAATCTGGAGTTTATGTGGAGTGCTTATCACATCCAGATGGCTCTCTGACCTCTCAGAGTTTACAGCTAAATACGGTGCTACTCTTATCTTGTTTCCCCCAAACAGCATTGCAACCTCAGGCTAGAGAACTCTGTGTGCTCAGCATGGAGGCCACCTCTTTGACTTACTCTGCCTCAGGTTAAGCAAGTCCCTTCTCTAAGTGACAAGTTCTGGCATGGAAAGTGAGAGCACAGCACAGACTCACACAGCTCTAACCAAACTTCAGTGATTTTCATGAATAAACACTTCTTAGTTTGTTGTAGGTCTTCAGAGTCTTTAAAATAACTTTATCCAGATTTATAGCTGCTTTTTAAAAAGTGGGGATGATTTGTCAGCCTCCTCACCTCATCGTATTACAAGCAAATTTCCCTCTCTGACTTTGAATCATACTCCAACCAAAGCAGTTTAATGAGAATAGACCTAGAGAGGACTGGTAAAGTTTCCAGAAGTATCCATTCAAGGCTCCCAGAATGCCAGAGTTTGACATGTAACCTTTATCTATTAAGTTGATTACTTTTGGTCATGGATACATGTTTTATTTTTAGATATTCTTTGTGTTTATTTACATTCATTTTAAAGTAAATACTGAGTTACTTCAGTCCAGCTGGTTATGAGTATATTTCTTAATGTAAGTATGTAGTATTTTAATAAAATATGTTGGAATGTAGACTTGATCTTTGGATTGAAAAAAATAACACCTAGTCATAGACATAAAAATTGGGAGTCGATATACTTGAACTAAGGACTTTATTTCAGTGCAAATTCTCTCCTGCCCCCATTCTGTCACAGGTGAATCCCCATTCTTTTAGGCAAGAATGTGGATCTCCACCCCATATAGACCATGGACTTTAGTTACGTATAAATGGTATGCTGACTTCAGTCTTGCAGCATACGGTAATATAATGGGTTGGTAATCTGTTATGAATTTGAGAATGCATTTAATGGGAAAGAAAGTTAATTACAAAGCTGCCAAAGTGGGAGGGTGAGAAGGTACTATTTCTTATAAAACCTAGTTTGGAGAACCTGATATGAATCTCTTGCAGTTCTGGAATTATAAATGTTTGGCTTATATTCAGGAAACCTGGAACCTGCAAGGGCTAGTAAGGTGCTTTGGCTAATGAAGGGAGAAGTCTAATGTTAGTTGAGACTGTTCTGCATACTCAGCATTTGGTTTGACAAAAAGTGCTGGAGTGCTTATGAAGGGCCAGATGTTTGTCAAGTGTGGGGAGTGGGCCCTTGTGGGGGGAATCCATTTTAGACACTGTACAAAAGGGTTGCTGAGAGGTACAGGGAGGCCTCAGAAGAAGACAATCCAAAATGGATCTCTGGATTCCTTAAGAGTTAAGAAGAAAGAAAGTCCGGCAGAATGGATTGCGTTCACTCAGGCAAGGGAGTTGCTGGGGCAAACAGCCAGGGGTACAGAAGTGCCTGTGAGAGGAAGTCGGCATGAAAATAACTGCTGGGCACCTGGCTGGCTCTGTCAGTAGACCATGTGACTCTTCATCTTGGGATCATGAGTTTAAGCCCCATATTAGGTGTGTAGCCTACTTTAAAATAAAAACCTAAAATAATAAAATGATTACCAAATGCAGCCTGTTCTAAAGCATCTTAGCCAGATAAGAACTCAGTCACCCCCTACAATTTTAACTCTGGCAAGATCAAGCCATACACAGCCAACTGAGAGGAGGAATGGAATTAGGCAGGAAAGAAGAAAAGGACCATGCTGGCCTTCTAACCCTACTGCAGGTGGTTAGCCTGTAGCCTGGCCTGGCTTATGAACTCTTGACGTTTGGTGTTTTTATAATTTTGTGGGGCTGACATTCTGTTTTAGTGCCTTACAAGTTCAAACAACTCTATGGACTTTATATTAAAGTAAGCTTTTTCAATCTGGATTGGTAGAAAGATTTCTGAATATTTAAGAGACTAGTGGGAGATGATTTTGCTGTGTGATTTTATCCCGTGAGTTAAAAACTTCAGTTATGGGGGTGCCTGGATGGCTCAGTGGGTTAAAGCCTCTGCCTTTGGCTCAGGTCATGATCTCAGAGTCCTGGGATAGAGCCCTGCATGGGGCTTTCTGCTCAGCAGGGAGCCTGCTTCCTCCCTCTCTCTGCCTACCTCTCTGCCTACTTGTGATCTCTGTCTGTCAAATAAATAAATAAAATCTTTTTTAAAAATAGTGGTTATGTATATTAAGATTTTTGGGGCGCTTGGCTGGCTCAGTCGGGAGAGTGTGATTCCTGATCTTGGGGTTGTGAGTTGAGGCCCCAAATTGGATGTGGGGATTACTAAGAAAAAAATAAATAAACTTTAAAAAAAAAAAAAAGATGTTTGAGCATTTTTTTTTTGGTGCTATAATTCCATTCATGTGATTATTCAAAACCTGAAATAGTTTTGTCACAATTATGTATGGGATATATATATATATATATATACATATATATATATTTTTTTTTTTAGGTGAGGAAAAACTTTTATTTCTTTGTACATGTTTTACTTTCATAGCCGCCAAAAGGACTGTGTTTCATTTCCTCTAACTGACCCTGTCCACCAGTTATGTTGCCCTCGACAAATTACTATAGCAACATATGTAAATATCTATCGTATATTTATACACACATACACACCTTCTAAAGCACTGTCAGAACACAGACTAGGCTTTCCCACAACTGGGGCTTCTCAGGTGCCACTTAAAAAATGATCACTCGTTTGTCTTATAGGACTTTCAATGGGCTTGGGCTGACCCTGAGCCCGAGTTCCCCAGAGAGGAGTTAGGGTGATGAAAGGGAACGGTGTATTCAGAGTGAGGTGGCCACACTTCGGAGATCATAAAAGAAGGGAACTAGGAGGTGCTAGGCTAAGCAGGAGATGGCACATGGGAAGCCACCGCTTTCACCAGGAACATTCGAAGCACGCAGGTGCCTTAGTGTAGATGGATGCCCAGCTGATCGGTGGCCAGGCTAAGCTGGCCCCAGGGAAGCGTGGATCTGGGAGTTGTGCTGGCTGAGCCCCACTGGCCCTCAGGGCACTGCTGTCACTCGTGGGCTTTGGAACGGGCTGAGGAGCTCCTGTGTGGGGATCAGAGGTCCCATCTGTAGGAAGTAGGGTCCTGTGTCCCCTGAGCTGACCGTCTGAGGGCAGGCGTTGGAGCAAGGACTGGCTGTGGCCTGTTCCCAGGCCAGTGAGGTGCGCAGAAGCATTGTCAGGAGCTCCTCTATAGACCAGTGCTGGGATGAGCAGCCCCTGGTGGGTGGTGTTCCTCAGCCACAGGAGAGGCTGTCTTCCCTTCTACCTCCTCCACCGGGAAGAGGATGGGACCCTCTGGCAGGTGTGAAGGACTGGGCTTCAGGTCTCCTCAGCAGATTGGGATCTGCACCAAAGGGGGACAGGCCCAGTCTTCCTGCTGTTTGAAGGACCTCCAGTGGCTCCTTTTCTTCAGTGGCTCCTTTGCTGGGACAGGAATAAGGCTTTACAGAGGCCATCTTGTATGTGTTCTTTTGCTTTCCTTGGACTCCTGACTTGGCCTCCAAATTAGTCCTTGCCTTCTTCAAAACATCATGTGTCCTGGTCAACTGACTGAAGATAAACTGCTCCATGCTCTCCTTCTGCTGGTTGGCAGTCTTCAGACGCTCCGCTGTGCTCTGAAGGACACTCTCCCGTTTGGACAATCTGGTTCTCAGTTCCAGAAGTTCCCTTTGCAGGGACTGTCCTGTGCTGTCAGACAAGACAGGGCTGGGGGACCTGGGCAGGGCCGCTTGCCAGAACATGGTGAGGAGGGAGGCCGACTCGTCCAGCATGTGCTGCAGGGCCTGGGTGCTGCTCCTAAGTTCATGGATGCCTTTGCTGTCAAGCACCTCTGTGCCCTGAGTTTCAAGGCCAGGGAAGGTGCAGGCTGATCTCACAAGATCTGCTATCTTTTTGACCAGCAGTTTGCCCTCCCCTATCCACTGTCTTAGGGCACTGTAGTCATCAATGTGGCCAATGACATGGCGGCCATGCTTATTGGCAAAGGAGCCATCAGTAGCTTCGCCCTCCAGCTTGGGATTCTTCATCACTGGAGAAGCATCCAAATCCAGCTTTTGTCCTCTTGAAAATGGTGGTCTCTGAGCCAGGAGCAGCAGCAGAAAGGCTAGGGAATGTGAGCGCTGGAGAATTCATGCCAACATCTCGGACTGGAGGGGAAGCAATGGAGTCTTGGAGGAGCAGTTGCTTGTTTCCAGGGTCCTCCTGGTGGGCGGAGGAGGGGCTGAGGCTGGCTTTGCTCCCCCCGCCATCCAACTGCTGCTCCAGCTGCAATCGCAGACAGCTGTTCACCTGGATGCTTTGCTCCAGCTGCCCTCGCAAAGCTCGGATCTCTGCCACCAGGTGGCTCAGCTCACTGCTCAAAGGGACCTGGAGGCAGGCATCCCAGGTGGGAGCTTTCAGCCCTTTCTTGGAATTGCCATAAAGCACCTTGTAGATCTGTAGCTCCGACTGGAGGGACTGGAAGAGCTGCTGTTTCTCCTCACACTGCTGCTGCAGGAGGGTGAGCTTGTGCTGCAGCCTGGAGTCTTTCTCCTGGAGGGACAGGCGTTCCTCCTGGAAATTCAAGATCTCCTGTTGCTTCTCCTTCAAGTCTTCCAGAAGCTGCTGCCATTCCCCCTTTTGGCGCTCCAGCTCCATCTCCAGCTCTTGAAGCCAGGATCTCGAGGACAGCAGGGCCTCCCTCAGGCGTTCTGTCTCCTGGGAGCGCTCTCTAGAAACATGACTCAGCTGAGCCTGAAGGCTCCGGTTTTCTTCCTTAAGGACTCTGTTCTCATTGTAGAGCTGAGGTGTGGGTTCTAGGCCAGGGCTGTAGAAATTGGAGGTAGATCCGCTCCCACGGGCTGCACAGCTGAGCCGGTGTTCAAGCTGCTCCGGCAGCCGGTCGTTGATGCAGATGGACTCCTCCAGGCGCTGGCGCAGGTTCCGGATCTCTCCGAGATGTTCCCCCAGCAGGTCAGCCCCTGTGGGTTTCGAGTTAAGCTGACATACAGAGGATCCTGAGGACAGGTCGCCTGATACACTCCCTTTCTGAGGCCTCATCATATCCCACTGGCTGCCGCTGCCCAGGTAGCCGGGCTCCAGGATTCTGCCCAGTTCCGGGCCGCCCCTCAGAGGAGAGTGGGGCTGGGCGGGGTTGAGATAGTGAGAAGAGCTGGCTTCTAAATGGTTGCTTGGCAGTGGAGCTGGGGAAGCAGGATGGACGGTGTTGACACCTGGATGGGCCTGGCTGGCCTCCTGGGGGGGGGGGGTTCTGGGGAGCTGGCAAGCTGATGGGGTTGCTGCTGGGTTCGGCCTTAGCCCCCCGAGGCGCACTGGTTGCTGATGGCTTAGAAGAGAGTACAGCAGAATGACTCGAATGATGGATGGAATCTGAGTGACCATGCAGAGCCTTCTCTTCGTAGTGTGTATACTCGCTGGCTACATCCATGTCAGAGCAGGCTTCCAGCTCATCAGACAGGAAGGAGGAGCTTCTGGGAGAGCACTGGGAGTCTGACAAGGTGTGGCTGCTGGAGGGTGTGAGGGACCGAGCGTCCAGCTTGGCCTGCAAGACCTCGATCACTTTCTCCTCCTGCAATTCTCTGCTGAGCCTGAGGGCCAGCGGTTCAAGTCCAGCTTGATCTTTCTCCCTTTTATGATCCTTGGTGCTGAGTTTGCTGGTAAGCCTCTCTGTCAGCTCGCTTCCCTGGGCAAGTTGCTCTCAGAAGCTCTGCCCCAGGTAGTAGTCAATGTCATTGCTCCTAAGAAGGTCCTCAAAAGATTTTACTGTATCT